GGAGAGGGAGAGGGAGAGGGAGAGGGAGAGGGAGAGGGAGAGGGAGAGGGAGAGGGAGAGATGAACCAACGGAGTTGCCCATATAGGCCATAGTTGGGTTGTCGTACTCGGTTGGAAGTTGGGCCACCAGCGGCCAGGCGAGGGCTGTGTTCACATGGACAGAGCCGGCCTGAGGCCTTTGTGCGGCTAAACGTGTGTGCGTGTGTGTGTATTTGCGGTCGCACGTGTGTTTGTTTGTATTCATGTATAGGAGGAGGGACCAACATTATTACCGGGAGGTAAGACAGCGAGCAAAGAGAGCCACGTGTATGTATGTATGTATGTGTGCTTGTGGTTATGACTTGCGCATGCATTATTTCACCCACCGGGAACTGGGGTGAGACACCGCCGGGGGAGCTGTGTCTTACTCGCGAGCAGTAATACATCGAACTTTTGGACCATATGCTTTTTATCTGATTCCAGACACAGCATTGATGTTAAGGTGCGACATTGTATCCTTAGATGGCCCCAGTTTGATACCGCCAAGTCATGATGTGAAGGTTCTCAACCCGTAAGCGAGTGGTCGGTGATGGGCTGGTCGGTAACTGATCCCCGATTGTGGTGACCTGCGAGCCGACCACGAGTGATGTTGGCGCCGTCGTTAATGGGCAGATTCTGTCCACTGGTGATGGATTCTCAATCCGAGGATGTCACTGACTTCTCTGAAGTGGCCATATGTGAGGACGACGAGGGTGCCCGGAAGGCAGGACGGTCCAGCTGGAGTGGCCACGGGTGAAACCATAAAACCCCCTACATCGCACAATCGTGCGAAAATTTATATGATCTGCGTGTGTTACAGCAAGGGCCATAAAAGAAGGGGCAAAATAGAAGGGCGGGCTGCAAAGTTTTAACTCGCAGTCTGAATCCGTCCGGATTTTTACTCGGCTTGCTGTATCTTATATAAACGGCTATAGTATCTGTTGTGAGATGTAGTGGCCGAAACTAAACTTAATTTCCCGTTTAAGTTGGTAATAAATTATTACTAAAAAATTACTACTAATATTTTGGAAAACGTGCACCTGATAGATGAATGCGTGATGGCGAAACCGGCGTTGCCTAATCACGTGATTTACTTTTATGCTTTGTGCTTTCCTGTATCACCGCCTCATTATTTCTGTATTCGGCGGCCCCGACAGCAATCAAGCTACGCGCGTACCTGCGACGCGCGACGACCACGCGCCCTGCTGAAACCCTACTAGTTTTCATGAGTAGTTAGTTGCCTTACCTCTTGAAGGCGGCGGGGATAGGCTAGGGTTACCTGCGAGCAGAAGAGTATGCTTGCTTCCGCGGGAGGAGGCGAGCCTGGTCACCGACGGCGGTGTAATGGGCAGAAGCCGCAGTGGAAACCCGTCAATACTGACACATATCATACGAACTCGCGAAATTACTATATCCGTCCCACTCTCCGCGTCTTGCACTACGCTCGCACCGGTACGGCCCCGCCGTACTCCCAACGAACAGCCGGGTACGCTTTTGGCAAGAATACACATTAAAACCTTGGTTTCTTTTCGTTATTCTCAGAAAACCTCTTCAGTTTTTAACTCTTGCTTCCGTCTGTAGGTTCCATCTGCGCTCTCGTCAATAGTCGTCATCATCATCAGCAGCAGGAGCACCCGCAGCCTAGGCCTCATTCAGTCATCCAGCAATAGACCTGTTTTTTCCTTTACCTGTCACGTTTTACCCTGCAACTAATTTATAATAGCTCTTTCTGGGTCTGACTCATCAGCTGCGCAGCCACGCGGACATTTTAACGGAAACTAAAACCCTGCTGTCAACATGCCATCTGCATCTCCACCCACGCATCAGCAGTTCATCATTAAGGTTTTGGCGTCGGCTATTTCTTACTCGTAACCGTGCAGCTTTTTGTTTCTGGCTAGTGTTCTCAACACTAGTTGACCGCCGCGGCCGCGGCTTGTTGAGTAGTGAGTTGTGGCTTTGTAACGCTCTGGCCATCACTATTGCATCCGATCCACTTCACCTTCAATAAATATCCATCGGCGTAAATCCAATGTAATACGGCAATAGCCGGCGTCAAGTTATTATTAACAAAAGAATGTCACATATATAAAGCTTCTGCTCTGTTTGAAATGTGGAATGCATGCCTTAGCCTTATTTCATGTACAAGGTCTGCAGCAGGTGATCCACGGGCTGACAGGGTACCAAAGAAAACTGCTGACGACGTGACGCACTTTATACGGAGCAAAAAACAAGGATAATATTTATGTAATGCAATGGAGAGATAGATGTATACAGCTGTTGATGCGCGGAGAACAGAGGGTTCATCCGCGACGTTAACGAATTTAACGTTAATCCTAAGTGGAAACATCCCCTATGCCTGCTTTTTCATGGGTTGAGTCTAAAAACGTTTTTGCTGTTGTTGTTGTTGTTGTTACATGGTCGTGGGTGCGTTCCCCGTACCTGCAAACCACCCTAGTACGAGCCGAGGGCTCAAGGGCTGCCAAATCGCCTATAAGCACCATCCTACCTCGCACTTCCAACGAGACAAGTGATGAAGTATTCTAACGACCAAAGGGAACGATAGAGTTGCGGTGAGACCATATGCGTTCCAGCATCCTTGCCAGGCGTTCAGGTTCCCACTTCATAGCGTCCTTCATATGTTCGAAGCGTGGAAAGCCCATATCAGATCTGATTTCGTTTTTGTGAGAAAAAGCTGTGCTTGGAAGTAGCTCATTACATCGCGAGCAGTAGTATACGTGCTTCGGTGTTATGCTTTGTTTTGGTTTTATTCGCTAGCTCTCCTAAACCGAAAACTGTGCATGACACTGCCGACACAGCAGCGTTGCCAGAACAAGCGTCCAGCAGCAGACCTGTTGGATATGCTAAGCTCTTACAAGCTCTGCCAGGCGAGACAGAGTATGCCTGCAAGGTAGTGATTCGGGTACCGGACTTGCAGTCAGCAGTGAGCTGGCTGCTAGCTCACGCGACAATGAAGAGACCCAAGAATCACGTAATTGCTTCTATTCGCTCGCGCGGAGCCAAATGAAAATTAAACAGGTAAGAGGCATTGCACAGATATACTCTTAAAAACGCTAAGGTTTTGCGTCTCTGATTAACAATGGGCCGCGGGTCCAAAACCTGCCATTAAACTAGAATCTACACTGCACCTCCACACATTCAGGACTTGCATGCAGAAGTGCATCCCAAATGCAAAATAAAAGGTATACTTTACCCTTAATCATTGATCGGTGCAGGCAGGACATATTCGCAGTGACATGATGATGAGCAGCACAGGCAGATACGACGGTGGCTTCGAAGCTTTCTGCTGGGTCGGTTTAAGAATCAGGCCGCAATCAGCTTGATGGTATCTCCCAGCCATTCCTTAGACAAAGCAGTGCTCATAGTAGCTTCACGGCTATAGCTTGCGTTGCATGTATAATTCCCGAACACTAAAATAATAATAATCCTGAAACCATTATCTACATGGATGCAATAACACTCTTTTTTCTGCATCATCATAAAAATTCGCGCGGAAAAGGCGCATCATCACCATGCTCTGTTTTATTTGCGCTAAGATACTATTAATATTACGACGCGGCAGGCGCACACGCGGCTTGCATTGACGACGATCTCGCGGCATACTGACAGCAGCAGCTCTTTTATTTTTCTGAATGGAGGCGTGGATTCATTCACAGAAGGGAGCAAACTAACAGTAAGTTTGCATAGGTTTTGGGAACGCATGAATCGGCTGCTGTTGCTGTTCCGGCGGACTGCCCGGTGCAGGCAGGGCGGGCTGCTGTTTGAGTCGTTTGGAACAGGCCGGCAAAACTGCAAATAATAACAGTGCTGTAACAGATAAAAAATAATAGAGATGCATCCAACGGCTAATCTACGTGCCTTCCTTCTGGCCCTCACTACCCCTCGGCGCAGGCTGCGACGCTTTTGCGTTGCCCTATCTGAGGTTCTACATACAAATGCAAATTAGCTTAGAGCTACGTAGGCAAAGTAACGTTGTGCGCTTTACATATGCTCGTGCAGCAGGCTAACATGTATGGGTACGTAGGCGGACATCTGACATGATAATTGCACGCCGCCGAGTGGATCTGGATCTTTCGGTCACTTCTTTTGGTCGATTTTTGGTCATTAGGGACCCGCAGCCTGACGGGGCCTTAAGCCGAATTTCGGCTGCGGGTACTGCGGGTACAGTACCCGCAGTATTCGCAGGATTTGCCAACCTCTGATCTCAATAGGATGCAGGCAGGGTATTAGAACGGGCGGTATGCACGGACAATGAACAGAGACATACAGAATTACCGCATGATGAATTTAATTTACAACGACTGCACACTGCCCATCAGGGTGAGCCCATCAACACGTAAGGCCCCCCCCTAGGTTACCATGCAAGCCCGCCCGGCCGTCAGAGCGATCAGAGGGAACCAAAATTTGGGAATAGCACCTTGTGCACTTCGTGTGCAACACTCACAGGCGCCGGTCCACCACCGATAGAATGGGAGGGTCGGGGCCCACGCCGACTTCTAAAACAATATTAGTTTTTGTGTTTTTTCAATTTAAGAGGACTAAGTATTCTTATTGACATGCAGTTGATAAAAGCATATGCTCATAAGAGGCCTATCTGCTTAGTAAGAACAACCCCTCACGCCGTTGTTTGTAGCTCTCCAACTACCAACAAAGCAACTCCCCGAGAGCCGCCTGACTGTTGTGTTCCCGTGCCTGCCATGAGTCGTTGAGGCCCTCGCTGGTGAACATGTGCCCCTCTACACATAGTAATCTTGCATGGCCGCCGTCGTCGGTGGCAACGCTAATACATGCCGGCACCGCTAAGTCACCATAGCCGAATGTAACAAGTCTTACTGAATATTTGTGAACGAACAATAAAGAACAATAAAAAAAGCGGTTGTGATGTGCGCTGTCTGTCAAACGCTAGTTTTTTGTAAATGACGCCAAGACCTTTTCACCTCACGCAACTGCCAATCAACCGTCCAAACTGTTCCCCAACCGCGCGCCTCCCAGGTCCCAACTGTGAAATGCAAACTACAAGCTTTCTACGCTATCAATTCATTTTGTACTAGATTAGAGAGGCATCCAAGTCGACAATTCACAGGCCTGCAACGTTGCACAACGCCATCTTTGCAGTAGCGGTAAGGTCACGTCGTCAATTCCAACCCATCGTCGCATCGGAAGCGTCACGTCGTACCTTCCAAGCCTGCGCACCGTCGTCTTCTTGTCCCTCCTCCTGCCTGCGCCTGGTTGCTCTAAATTAGTATAAAAACCCCACCGCGGCTGCTAACTTCTCAGGTTCAAATCGTGGACACTTCCCTTCCCTTCACATTGTGGGTCAGGTAGGCTCGCTACTTTTTTAACGCTCCATCCCACCCAAAGATAGATCAGATAGAGGTGGTTGTGTTGGCCACTTCAATCACTCTCTTGTCATATTCCGCAGAGATATTGGTGGACTACTAAATAAAGAACCCGCTGTTCGTTTTCTTCAGATTGCCGTCCGAGTTTCCTTTCCGCTGCTTACTACTGCTACTGCTACTACTGCTGCTACTAGCGGCTTCTGGAGGTCGGTAGAGGTCGTTATCGGCGATGATCGCCCTCGATGTCATCGATCGACCAACTTGCCAACATAATGCAGCCACTGAGTGGCACAGCCACAACCCACACAACCACACAGTCATGCACACACATAGCCATGCACACACACACACACACACACACACACACACACACACACACACACACACACACACACACACACACACATCTCGCATTATTGTCACGTGCACCCAACGACACGCGGCGCACAACAACTCGCACATATATATACTACCGCCCAATCACTTATCGCGCATTTCTGCCACCATGTGCACGGCGGCTTATCATCTGACAATAAGCGGTTCGCCCTTGTTCCTTGCTCCTGACACGCAGATAGAACTATAACTAATAGCACACACACGCGCTTATATGTCAGCTCCGACCGCACAGCGCCAGTGTCTCCCCCGCGGCCGCCGCAGCGCCGTTTCCAACCCCGTCGTGATGCGGCCTCCAATGCTGCTGCTGCTGCTGTTGCTGCCAGTGCTACTGCCCGCTGCAAGCGAGGCTGCCAGAAGCATCATGGACCTCCGCGGCGGGGGCAACAGCCGCGAGTGCGACCCGCTTACGTTTCCGTACAAAACTCTCTTCTATGACAACCCGTCGGACTGTCGCAACTACGTCCTGTTTGATGTGGACGCGGGCTGCATGCCGGACTGGCGCCGCGCTAAGGAGGTCTGCGACAGCTCGGACATGGAACTGGCGCCAGCCGGGGAGGAGTCGTCCCTGGGTGCGTGTGTGGGTGCGTGCGTGTGTGGGGGGTTTATGTAGCCTCGCGTATATGCTGCTTAATGCGCACTTGCTGGCGGCACCTGTGTCCCGGTATGTTTGTTGATCAATCTGACGACCTGCCAGGATACGAGAACCAAGTGCTGAAGTGTGTGCACGAATGACTGCACCCACGCGAGCTCCGTAGTCCGTGTGTATGTGTGTATGTGTGTTACACCTTGAGTTGCGTTACTTTCTCCAAGGGCCCATAAGCCTACTGTCTGGGGGGTTCACCCCCCACAAGCCGAGACAGGGCGGCCCCATGCAGTGCCGGGAGGCGTGTGTGTCAGGAAACTACAACAAGATAGGGGTTCGTGGTTCCGTGGTGCAGCGCATGCACGATGGTATTAGCACGATTATGCACGCGCACACGCAATTCCATGGGAACACACACAAGCACACACATACACACTTACATACATACACATATGTTGCACGCCTACGCACGCCGTCCTCGCAGCCGTCCTCCGGGAGCTGTGCGCCAAGAACCGCTACACGTGTTGGATGGGCGGGGTGCCAGCAGACCCCTCCTCCGACCTGTGCTACCTGATGAGCCAGGAGGGAGACGTGCACCTGCAGGGCTGCGACCAGCCCGTCCGCTTCGTGTGCCGGAGCCGCTACGCTGGTAGGTTGTCTGTGTTGTCTTGTGTTGTCTTGTGGGTTTACTTGGGCTTGGGAGCGACCGGTGACCCACGGGACGCCAGCCCCTGATCACAATTTTTAACATATGTACATACGTACATACGTACAAAAGAAATAGCCGAAGCTGGTGTTGTTGCGATGACGTGCATGTGAGGGTACACCTGCTGTTAGACTGACAATTCTTGCGCCGGATGAACCCTGGACGGTGCAGCTTTTTTCTTAGTTTTTGGTTTAATTTGGCTTGGTTCACCTTTCTGCTTGTTTGGCCCGGTTCATGTCGCTGCCTCATCCTTCACAATCATTGCCAGACCTCCGCTGCGCCGCCCGCGGGAGCTCCCAGCGCTGGTGGCCGTCCCCGCCCGCGTACCCCGCGCCACCACCTGACAGCGACAGCCCACTCCCCGCGGCGGCTGCGAATCTGGGTGGGTCCATCATCTTTTCGGTGACCGTAGACCAGTAGACTGTTGTGGTGCCCGCCTCTGACGCCTCCCATGCCTGTATACGTTCTCCTGTCCCTCTCTCCTGCGTGTGGTCCAGTCCCTCTCATTCCAATGTGCGTGTCCCCATCCCACCCGCCGCACCGCTGCTGCGGCGCACAAGGCGTCTGCCGTACGCACGTGTTTTGTTCGGTGCTACAGTCATGTGACGCGACAGCCTCCGGAGCCAGCAATCATTCCCCAAACATTCACACGCGCATGTACAGACGCGCACACGTACGCACGCGCACACACGCGCACACACGGACATATTCACGCACACAGACATACGCACATACGCACACGTACATACGCACATATGCACACGTACATACGCACACACACGCGCACATATAGATGCACACACGCACACACACGAACTGCTTACTACCATGCAACCGTCAACATCGACACAAGCCTTCTGAGTCCACATGGATGAGGATGCGATGAGGCATGTACCAAATCGTCTCAGTTGAGTAGTCCGCATCCCTTGTTGCAGGTGGTGATGACCCCAACGTGCTGACACACGAGGATGAGACCGGCTCGCAGTACCGCTTGTATGGGATGGATGCAAAGCAGGCTACGACGTACGACGGCGCAGCGGCCTTCTGCACCGGTCTGGGCGCCGGTTGGGACCTGGTGCCGTACGGGGATGACGTTGGGTACCATGCCGTACAGCGTCTTTGCTCGGCCCGTTTGTTCACCTGCTGGCTAAAGCGCGCGAACGGTTTCCCGTACTGCCCGCTCATGGCCGCGGACGGGACCTTGCAAATGCAGGGCTGCGACCAGCTCGTGAGGTTTGTGTGCCGCCGCCCAAGGCAGATTGCCTAAACAAGCTGGCGTGTGGAATAATTTCGGGCTTCTTCAAACCACGATGCTAATTAGCTAGCTGGCACATTTATTGTGATTCTCGATTAGATTGGCAGCATTTAGGAATGGGATTTTTGCTACGATGTCCAAATGCCCGTGTGAGCCCGTGTTAGATTCCGCTATATGCTTGAGAAATGGAACACTGCTGCAGATGGCAAGGAGGGCGTAGTCCGAGCAGTCCGCGCGCTACGACGGAGAGGCCGAGTGGCCGGTTTAATTGATTGATTGATTGACTGAGGAATGCGAGCTTACGGCAGCCCTGAGGTTTCTGTTTACTACTGTCACCCGTATCGTTTATCGTACATGTTACATGTTGTTGTACCGACCGCTGGCCAGCAACATGTGTTCCCCCCCTCCAACGGTTCCGTCCGGGGGGGCATATTCGCGGGTTAGATGCTGTATATAATCAATAGCAAGCCACACACTATAATAAATATATGTTGGGTCCGGCGGTAGGCACTACGTATATGATATATGAGCGTCATGGTGTTATCTGGATTCACAGTTGTAAATATCTTTTTATTTATTGATATCCAAGCCCTTTGCCTCGCTAACCTATCGACGTGACGTGCGAAGTAAAATTTACTGCATCCAAAGCTGTAGCAGCAGTTCGCTATGGCATATTACACTTTTTACAGAAAAAACGTTTGCGATATCAAAATCATCAAAATCCTATAATCTCCAAATGATCAGATTTCCTTCCAGCACACAGCCTCCGTTAACCTCAGGGACTAAAAAGAGTACTAATGTTTTGCACACGCGGTGTACATATATCCTCGAAAAAAAGTCTTGTTTTACCTTTTCGAATTTCCTCTTTTCAAAACCAATTGAAACACTGTCAAGCACTGCCCTGAAATACAAACGGACTGAATATGATATGACCTTTTCTGTAGCCGTATGCAGCGCCCCTCCGTGACAACGCATCAACCATTGAAAGCATCATCATCTAATCAACCCCAACCTCAAATTCCGTGCAGCACCTACTCACCAGCAGCAACCTCAACCTCAACTTCTTAACTACATTATAATTCTACACAGCCTTGAAAAGCCGCCAACAGCCAACAGAAACAACCGCAAGAACGAACATATTTTCCACCAACTGCCAACAGAAGCAACCGCAGTGGACAAAGCAGTGGACTCCTTTTTGCTATTGTGGTTGTTGGCTAATAATACTGTTTAAACAGAAAGAGAACACACCACCCTTAAGTTCTGAATCTACTTCACTCATTTCCCGTTCTCACCACTCATGTACCTCCTCTAAGTCAATCAAATCTGTGTCCGGCGCGGGCCGCTCACCAACAAGGTATATAAATCATCCAAGTTCTTTTTATAAACCCCCAAGTCTTCCGTAAACACCCCCCCACCGCCTTCGCCTAAAAATCGTTGCAGGTCCTCTGCAATACGCAAAATCAATGACCTGAGGCCGCCCAGCCTAATGCGCTCTACATCATCGTATCGTCTGTACGTCTTGAGACAAAGCGAACGCTCCCAAAGCGAACGCTCTTGAAGCACACGGGGCATACACACACGGCGCACACACAGGCCTAAGCCCCACCGAGGGACCGAGGGACAGCTAGGCTAGCTACTCCCGCGTGCCGGCCCCCTTCCGCATCTAGCTGGGGACCACCGGCCCTCAACCCCGTCATCCTGGACAGGACATGCAGCAATCCTTCCTGCACGTGGAGCACGACGACAGCTGCCGGGGTGGTGGGGGCGGAGCTGATGAGCTCTTGTCAACAAGCAACGTATCGGTCGGACCTGGTTCGGTCGGACCTTTTCCTCCAATCCCAACGCGGACTTAAAAACGGCTCTAAAGCCATAATTGCTCTGGTTCCCCGGGAACTGGGCAACCCCTGCCGTACGGAACATGAACATCTCGTATTGTATTTGGAGATTTGAATCATGGCCAATTTTGCAAAGGCGCAAGAACCTGCACACTGCCTGCCACGCATCAACCTGCCAGCTATTAGCAGCAGCAGCAGCAGCAGCTGCAGCTACCAGCCGAAATGGTGAGGTTAGCTAGCCCGCATATGCTACGGACCAGCCCACATCTGCTCGCTAATAATCCGCCACCCCTTTCCATTCTGCCCACCACCTTTTCCTCCCTTCACCTACCCCTTCCCCGGCCATTCCCATTGTGTCATGCGCAATACAACACAACGAGTTTGCAATTCCCACATCATCACCAGAACATTTCCATTTCCAACCCGCAACGATCACAACTGCGAAACGCACACACACATACATATATACATACACACATACATACGTACATATGCACCGTCCCCAGCAACTCATGGAGCAAGCAACCCTGCGAGGAGAATACCTGGAGGTTTGCGGATTTATAATTCCTCCAGGCACTAGCATTAAATCAACCAGCGGGACCCCAAAATCCTCGTCACAAGCTCACAGGCAACTCACCACGGTACATACATACACACACAAAGTATTCGCATTATCGCCGATGATATCATCATCACAGCTCGCGTAACTTGACAACGCACACGCAGTCGTTTGCACATACGCGGACTCACAAAGTTCCCCCCAATAGACACATACCCGCACACCGCACATCACAAGACCCCTTCGGGTCGGAATGAAATCAACATGGGCTGGAGAAGGAAGGAGGAGAGGGGCCCCATCTTGGCTGGAAGGATCCCGGGCGCCGCGGACGCCATTTTCCCTCCCGCCCACAATCCACCGTGCAAATCATTATCAATCACCATCGCCATCAGCAGTAGCAGTAGCAGTAGCAGTAGCAGCAGCAGACATCTCCACTACCATCATCGATAAGTTACTCCACAGTCACAGCTAACACCACCAAAAAACCCTGCATAACGGCAATTCCAGCCGTAAGCCCCCCAAACCAAAGCATCAACTGTACTGCGGGGCCCTATGACGAGGGCTCCATGTGAATAATAGTCGCCGTACTAAAGAGTCACGTGTGACACCCATGCCGTACCGTGCAGGGCTTGCCGGTGGTGGCGGCGCCGCACAGTGCTTTCCTCTCTCTCTCTAGTTGCACCCGGTGGGGGTGTGTGAAGGGCGGTGAGGCGAGAAATGGTATCCAACCAAAATAGAAACCCCCGCACGGGTGATAGAGAGAGTGTGTATGTATGTGTGTATGGAGGCAGCGGGGGTAGTGGAGAGATGAATGGGCCGGCAGAGCAGGAAAACCCCACAAACCCCAAGCAGCTACGTAATCCTATATCTTTTCCGCAACGTCACAATCAAACGGTCCTGCGTGAAGAGCACCCTGCAACCCCCCAACACCTCAGGAACGAAAAGACATCATCACCTTAACACACAACCTACTGCAGACACTCGACACCGTCTCACACGACCGCTCGCATCGCCACCATGACGCAGCTCGCAAGGTAATACACTCCTACATGTGAAGGGTTTTTGCACAATTGTGTAGCCATTTGAACAGCGCAGAAAAAAGCAAGGGGGAAGAAAATGGTGTTTCACGATCTACCTTAAGGAATGCAAGAAGAAGGAATTACGGTACGGTACAGAGAGAGAGAGGAAATAACACAAGATATGACCATGCTCCAAAGAGAATGTGGTAGTAGGCTGCATCCTGCTGACGGGAGCGGCAATTCTGTCCGCTACCCTGCGCTGCATCGTTGCGCGCTGCATCGATATTGCCTTGGTTAGCCGCCACTATGTATCACGGCCTAAAATTGCTCCCAACTGCCCCAACTGTACCAACGTGCCACAGTCGAATCATCTTGGGAAGGATTTCGGCTGTCTCCTGTCGGACCTCTCCTCCTCCTCCTCCTCCCCTCCTTGAAGTCCATCAGGTATGTATGTCTAACAGTGCAGTCGGTGCAAGAATGCTCAACGTTGTCCACCAGCACCAGTACCGGTAGCGGAGCAATTAATGATGCTATTAGTGCGGACTAACGAACTAACCGCTGACTGGAATTGTCGCCCTGAACAGGTCCAACGTTGAATAGCTGCCTGATTAGGTCATGTAGCCTGATTAGGTCATGTAGCCTGGTTAGGTCATGTAGCCTGGCTCCCCCGGTCGCGGTCGTATGAGTGTCACCCACACAGCCCTGGAGTACACGTCACCGTTGAGCAGGAAGAGCATGTACATGCCCGGCGGCGCGATGTTGATGTTGGGTGGGCCGCGGACGATGGCGACACCGTTGACATCTCCAACTGAATTGCTCACAATTTCCAAACCCAGAAGCCGTTGGTGCGTGTTGTACGAGTGTGTCGTACTGCTGGGCGCCACGAGTACGACACGCGTGAGCGCGTTGTTTCCCCAGCCCGCCGGGAAGGTGTAAGTGATGGTGAAGAGACCCTGGTACGCCATGCTGGTGCTGGAGGTGGTGACGATCAGGGGCTTTAGTTCGTCCATGAAGAAGTACGGCGGTGAGTAGATCTCGACGCGGTAGTCGGCCTGCAGTGGGGGAAGTCGGCAAGGGGGACCACGTGAAGCTCTTTCAAAAATTCACTCTTAAGAAATGACGATATTGTGGAGGAAGAAGGGGCAGGGTCAATAGGTACGGTAGGTCATGTTTGTTGTCAGGCATGCCAGGGGGATCATCAACCGGCGGCCAGATAAGGAAATGGGCCGTTACAGCAGCGTATTAATCTTTTTCTTTCCTTTCTTTTCCTGGGGGGAGAGATAGAGGGGAGAGAGGAGGGGGGCAGAGGGAAGGAGAGAGAGAGGAAAGAGGAGGCGGCTATAGAGCAAGAAGGGGAAGGCATATAAATAGAGGGAAGGAGGGAGAGAGAAGGGGGAGAGGAGGGGGACAGAGGGAAGGGGAGAGAGAGATGACCAGGACCCCCCAGTAGTCCATGTTGCCATTGTACGGTTGCCATCTCCTATGAAAGTAAATTTTAGAAAATAAATGAGTCATGAGCCAATGAGCCAACCCCTCCCAGCAACTTTGTTACTTAGGTCGGAATAAATTGAGACCCGCCCTAAATGAAAAAAAATGGCCGTACCTTCGTGGCCGATGGTTCGAAATCGTAACCCGATTGCACATCGTATCTGTAGCAGCGGTCGCAGCCGGCCACGATAACGGTACCGTTGGTGGTTAATCCGGCGGTTGAGTGGTACATTCGGGCAATGAGAGTTGTAGCCATCCTCCTGAAGCGGCTGCCCAGCGGTGCATTTGGGTTGTACTCCTCCGCGAAGAGAAGGGGGTAGTTGGCGCGACTATCACCACCGCTAGCGGAGTCGCCCGCCAATCCGGCCTGTGCAAGTGCGGAGGGAGGGGGGAAAGGACAAAGGCCTTGACGTCTGTGTGCACGTGCGGGTCAAGAACGTGCAGGGACTGGTCTGAAGGCGGTGCGGGGAAAGGCAGGGCCCGATAGCCCGATGGATCAGATACCGAGATAACCCTCGGGAAAGATCTGCAAACGCCTTTTCGGTGCGGTGAGGCGCGGATGGCGTGGGGAGAGACACGCGTCATTGTGACGGAAACTCCTCTTCCCCCCCTTAAGTTCTCCAGTACTATCAGGCACCAGGTCGAAGTCCATAAAATACTAAATTACGTTTATACAACAGCAGGTAGGACTATAAGTACACAACAACATCAAGAAGCACTGATGTTGATTTAACACTGCAAATCGCAGGTTATTCCAACCGACCAATCTATTATTGGTAGGGTTGGCACGGGTACTATATTAGAAAAGAGTTACTATACTAGAATAGTACTATGCATAGTACTACATACTATGCAGGGCTCTCAGGGAACGAGCCGATACGGAAACCTGTGGAAATAGGTTTCGTCACGCTTTCAGCCCAGATTGGCGGAAATGCGGAAAGAGAATCCGCATTTCCGCGTTTGCTGTACGGCAGAAAGTCAAAAACAGATTCCAGGCATGCGTTTGCCATTTAAAGACTGCGTTTTACACTATGGAGTCATTAGATTAAGTCAAATGTCAGCAACCACTGGCCCCGACCTGGGGGCTGCCGAAGTCATAGAGATTGGCTGTGTTTCTGCTCAGAAGAAGGGTGGAAGGCCCGTTGATGACGTTTGGAAACATTTTGATAGAGGTCCTTACGACAAGAGCAAGAACTGCTATGCAACCTGCAAGGGCTGCCGTCGCCACTGGAAACATGCTCGCCTTCCTGAAATCCGCTTTCACCTTGCCAAGGAGTGCACTGCCATCGCTCCTGAGGTCAGCGCCTATTACAAGTCCTTGTTAGCTAAGGATGCTGCTGCGTCTTCATCCGAGACGATTATTATTCAGTGTTTCAGGGCTCCCCGGGCCCTTACCCCATGTAACATATGAGTGGCAATTTCTGAGCATCCCAGAGCAATCCGTCAGCCAACAACACTATGGGGGTGGTATACGATAGGGCTGCTCAGGCCTGGGGTCTCAGGGTTCAAAGAGAGGCGGGCTGCTTGAAGGGGGCAGGATGAACACCGTCAAGGGTGTGGGCACGCAATAGTTGATCGCTTGGCCCCCGCCACCCCCCGTAATACATTTAGATGGCTCTACCTCCGAGCACGATTGGAATCCACCAGATTCTAGATCCCACCGGACAGAACCGCACTGCAACAAGCTGGTTTGAGACTGTCCATGTCATCGCCACACTGAGAAGAGCTAAAAAAACATCGTTACATATTCATTTTATACTTTCCGCAGCCTTTCCGCAAAGGGGCTCCCGAATACGAAAAGATTCCGCAGACCTGGTCAAGTTTCGGCTCGTTCCCTGAGGGCTCTAAACTGGCACTAGTTTACGACGCTCGTACCGCGTTCGTACATAGTAAAATAATATAGTAAAAATAGTACTAGATAGCACTAGATTTGGGTTTGGATAGTGTCAAGTATTAGTTGGACCAAGTCGAGATCTGCAGTCAAGCTGTATTGAAGGGCTATAGCCGCGTCTTCGAGCTGTGCTACGTAGTTTTGATGAGTAGTGTCGAGGGAATCCAGTATAAAGAATGACAAGGCGATCAGAGGCTTGCAGCCTGGCCCAGACGTCCCCCCTGACGTTCTCCGCTCTCGGAATGAGCTGTTCAACAAGCTACATAACCAGAAGAAGAACGCTAAGACGGCAGGTCTTTGGGACAACTTCGATGTGGAGTGGTGGGGTGGTCTACCAAAGCTAGTCTGCTTGTTCTGCGATGAGCCGCTCAGCGCCGCGAACCCATCCTTCACCAACGCGCACCACATCAAGCAAGGTGCTTGCAAGGCAAGGAGAAGATCGTTTACATCCGTGGCAATGCGGGCTTGCAGGGCAACCACGGCGCTGCGGCGGATGAGGTGGAGCTGATTCTCCAGCAGTGCGAGGAGGACGAGCAGGAGCAGGAAGCACAGCAGCAGCAGCAGCAGGGCACCCAGGGAAACGTACATCCCTAACATGCAGATTGATGACTGAGCGATGATAGATTGAGCTGCTGCAGTTTGCTGAATTGGAGGGTTACGTACTGGGCCGTACGGGAGGTTGTAGTGCAGGAACTTCACTAGTATGACGTCCGTGTGTTGTCTTGTGAACACTGGGTCTTCTATCTGTGATTATGTCTTTATGTGCCATAACACGCCTTGAGACATGGGGTTTGGGGTCCACCCACCGGGCACTGAACTAACAAAAAGTGATCTGGATGACTGCAGCGATCTGCTTTCTAATGTCTAAGTAGATATTTAGAAAGAACAAAAGAAGACCTTTCCAACGGTGTAATTTTCAGGTACAACGGTTGGCCGTACACCCCCCTTCTACTGGGAGCGTGCACCTGCCTAGTAATAGTATCATAGTACTACATTACTATATAGAGTACTATTTCTTACTATACTATGCTATTTGGGTTTTCAAATATAGTATTTTTGCCAACCCTAATTATTGGTCGGAAAGCTATTATTGGTTTATAATAAATGACTAAATTAACCAAAATATTCACATATAATATCTATAAAATAGATACAATATATATACATAAATATACCTATACATTAAATACAAATAAAAAAGATAAATAGCACAATGTGCGGAGCCCATGTTGACCTGTGTGCCATGTGAATAATTAATTCGTCACCGACTAACCTGACAACTCCCGCAACATGGCATCACGGGGCCGCTCAATACCCAACCCAACCACCCAGGCTCACCCATGCGCCGTTCAGAATAATGACCCTGCCGTTCGGCAGCAATACGGAGTCCGGCATCACACGGCCAATCGTCATTTGCTCAAACACCCAGCCATTAAACGTGTAGTTGCCTGTCGCTTTGTTGAACGTCAACGCCAAGCGGTTGGCTCCCCGATTGGCAAGCATGCTCAAATTTCTGACGGCTCCCTCATTCGCACCGCCGAACAACATAATTTCCACCTGGAGGTACCCCCGAGCATGTATGTATGTATGTATGTATGTAGAGGCGGGAATGGGAGTGGGATGGGGTGAGGGGTTGAAATGTGCATACAGACGCACGAAGATGCGACAGTTAGGGACCGTTGTGACCGTTATGGGGACGCACGAGCAACACCACACAAGTGGAGGTCGTTGGAGGCCGTAGCCACCCGTTGCCGCACAACAACAACTAATAACACGAAACTCTCATCACAGAGACAGCTCATAAACAGAACACAGAGGATTTTTCCTTCGTACATAAATAAGATACTAATAGGCCCATTAAGCGTCAAAAGAGCGGGTTGTGAAACTATTGCGATCCTCCCTCCGGTGCTTTCACGGCGTCCATACTCGCCTCTCCCCGCACCCAACCCGCTACCCCCCAACGTAAGATACGGTATTCTTTCTCTTCACCCCTCCCACATTTTGTAGATTTTCCTCTCAACCCCAACGCCTCAACCGCCAACCGTAACCGTCAACGAACCTGGTAGTTGTTCTCGGGATACAGCCCCAGCATCGCGGAAGTCCCCGTGAATGGGAACTGCAAATTGCCGTACCCTCTCAGCTTGGGCACTTCCTGACGCCAGTTGTTGTTCCGCCAATCCATAATCCAGCCGGAGCGGCCGCAAAACGAAAATAAGAAACCCTCGGGAAGCACATAATTGAAGGGGTAGTAGATCTGCAAAGGCGGGGAGGAGGAGGAGGAAGAGGAGAGGCAAAGGAGGGGAGAGCAAAAAGGTAGGGGGAGGTGAGGCACATTCTAGCGGCTGGTGAAGGGGAAATGCGACGGGGAGGACGAAGGGGAGGAAAGACAGACACTGTCGCCTCTGAGTGTAGAATCTAGGGAAGCGATGGTGCCCTCCATGGAGTCGGTTACCCAAACCCTGGTGTCGAGGCTTGGTTGGAGATGGGGTGTAGGGCCTCCAATCAGATTACAAGATTTATCCGTTAAAATAGCGACTAATATGCAACTTTCACCATTTTCGATGGCTCGCCGTGTGGCCCATACCCTCTTCATCAAAGAGGCGACGGGCTCTTCTGAGGTATTGGATGAAGCTATGCTTATTTTGCAACGGACATTCCATCGTTTATGGTCTCATTTACAATGGGACAATGAACAAAAAGAGGTTTTGTGACGTCTCACGGTTGATGGGGTGCCTATGTTAGGAAATTCCCATCTTAGGATGTCGCGACCAACAGTGTGTGGTTGTGGAGGTTATCCAGTAGGTTCAGTGGGAGGTGTATCCCCTCGCTGTCATCACTTCTGGGCCTGTCCGGTGGCACAGGCAGTAGCAGATCAACTTTGGCTTGGGAGCAACTTTGGCTTGTCCAAGCCCCACAAACAGTGCAACAATGTGTTTGGGTTGTTGTGGCTCTTGCTGCGGTGTCAGCCATGGAGCATGGGAGACTTTATATGGCTGCAAACATGAAAACCAGCCCGGCACTGTTACCTGGCCCTTCCCTTACGGAAGAAGCCATTTGTCGAGTTATTGTTGACTTTTGGGGACGCCTTCAGGGTTTCGCAGCTCTGGGAATTCCACGGAAAGGTTGGGATTCTGTTGGCGCACATCACCCCTTCTTGAGAATTATATCTGGCAAATTGCTATGCTCACGGGAGCGGTCATCAATGAACTGTTAATTATCTGAGGTGATGGTCTAATTTGTATATTAGTCTCTACTGCAGTGCACGGCCAGCTGGCCCGATGGCTCTACTCTTCGGGAGTCTGGAGCCCACTAACAACCACACACACACTGTCGCCCGAGTAACGATGTGCAGCAGACCACTGCGCACAGGGCCTTCATTATTAGGGGAGAATGAGGGGAGCAATGTGGGTGAGCAGAGATTGGTGCGGGGGGCGGCTGCACAAGAGAAAGAAACGAGGGGTGAGGAGAGGGGTAATGGATCCAAAAACACACACGCTCGCGCACATCCAGGGCCACCGGGAAGGACATCAGGGAGGTGGGAGTGACACAGTCGACCGAGCCGGAAGTTGCGGGGAGGAAGGCAGGGAGGGAGGCGAAAAAGGAGGGAGGGAAGGAAAACACACACGTCGTAAACACACAGATCCGTCCTGGATAGAAACCACATTGTCCAGGCATAGGACTTGTCCGTCGATAGTGTTATGGCCGTACTCACACAGAGATGTACATCACTGTATTTTCATCAAATTTCAAAACCACAAACGCTCAAAAATACGGCAATGTACGACGCTATGACTCTTGTACCTGCGTAGACTGGTCCAAGTACAGAGGACGCATGGCGTACGGCGTCACATTGCTTGTAGCTGGGTCGTACATTTCCCAAAACGGGTTGTTTGCCGTACCGGCCCCCACACCCTGCGTTCCACCCATGATGAGCACCCTGCCGTCCGGAAGGAGTGTGGGGGTGGGGTACCTGCACCATGGGATGGACACGAGAAGCGCATGGTGGGGGGGTTAGGTGAGTAGCCCACATGAATCAGGGTGACAGGCATCCATTACATGACGTCCTAATTGCGAAAATGGTGGATGGATGGATGGATGGATGGATGGATGGATGCATGCTACAGAACAGGAATGATAAGGGCGTGAAACCTCCGTAACCTCCACAACTGCCACCCACCATCGGCGCCAGCCCATCTCCCGAATCTTGCGCAGTTGCAGGTCGGTGCACGAGCGGTTGAATGTACGAATGGATTTCATTCCGTCCGGATAGCCCGCATTGGCCTGCGAGTTGGTGGTAGGAGGGAGACAAGGGGGGGGGGAAATGGGAGCGGGGGGCGCTACTTGATTGGTTGGCGGTGTCGTACAAGGCACCACAAAGGGCTCGGGCAGAAGAAGCAGATTGCGGAATACATTTACCCCCTCCTCCCCCAACTCACACACATACCCACAGCCCGAGGCCCAGTCATACACACGTATACTAGGTTAGGCACTACTGGTAACGCACGACCATTACCCCCGGGAGATCCCGGGATCGAGACGTGTCAGGGTCGAAAAACACTCCGATGGTGGAAGGTATAGTGTCCCTAGTCAATGGACTGTGGTGACCTGGGATACAGTCGCGGGCGAGCCGACCAGGAATGGACTTGGGCCGCTGTCGACCCGGCAGATTCCGTTGGATGCCGGTGGTGGGTGCGGAACCTGAGCGATCCACTGAGAAGTTGACTAGGGTGCCCCGAAATACCGGGGAAGGCAGGGTTTCGCAGGGTAGCTGCCACGGGCGAAGATACACCCCCCTGTTTCACACATCATACATACATACATATACACATATGCATACAAACATACAAACCCATCGCCACTACCGCCCCAACCTCCTTCACAATCGTACCTATATACCTACACACACACACACTCTCTCTCAGCCCCCCGAGCCCCCCTGAGCCCCCCCTGAGCCCCCCCAGCCCCCCAGCCGCACCTGATGTCCGCCCACAATCACGACATCCCCCGTGTCGAGCAGCGTGTGGCCGCAGCAAAATAACCCATCAGGAGAATATACGTGTGTGAACTTGCGGATGTTCAAGTCGAAAAAGCCCGCAATGGTGTTGGTATTGTCCGGGTGGTAGCCGGAAGGACGTTCCATAAAGAGATAACGGTCCGTGCCGGGAATTTGAACCAAATGTACGGCAATGATCATGCCTATGCCGATCTGGTCGTACCTGTCGTGGTTATTTTGCGCGGGAAACGGCCCGAGTGCGAGCGGGGGTACAAAAGGAGGGGGTTGATGGGCGAAGTGGGGAGAACTTTCGGGGGCATGTGGGTACGCGTGCGTGCGTGTGTATGTTTTGTAGTACGGCACAAGTTCACACGCTTACCAGACTACAGGTTAGTGAATGGGATTTAATATGGAGGTTGGGCGAAGAACGACATACATACATACATACATACATACATACGCAGGTACGCGCGTAAAAACCACCACCACACGCAGCACATTAACCTTAAATCATTTTTTTCTCGGGAACTAGGCCGAGTGTGACACGAGCAGTCCGAATCAGGTCAGATACGCGCTCCGCTCCTCTCCCCTCTATCCTTTTCCCCCCTCCCTACAGATACAAACTACCATACACACACACGTGCACTCACACACAGGCCTTACAGACAAACACCCGCATCTGTGTACGACTGTACAATTTATGGGAAATGACAATAAGATCACAAAACGAACCTGCCGACTACCCGCACGTCGCCGGCGGGCGGAGCTGGAGGTCGAAAGATGGGCGGCGGTGACGGGGTGATGGGCGGGTACTCCGGCGCGTGGGGGGGCGCGGGGGGGACGGCATCCCCCACAGGTGCCCGAGGCGGCGGTGAAGCGGGTGGTGGCGACCGTGAGGGGGGTGAGCGTGGCAGGGGTGAGGGTGGTGGTGGTGAGGGGGGAGGTGGTGCCGAGCGTGGTGGTGGTGGTGGCGGTGAGCGTGGTGGCGGAGAAGGCGGCGGCGGCGGTGGTGGTGGAGGCGAGGGTGGTGGAGGTGATGGTGGTGGTGGTGGCCGTGGCGGGGGTGATGGCGGTGAGCGTGGCGGGGGTGAGGGTGGTGGTGGTGGCGAGGGTGGTGGTGGAGCTGGGTTTCGGGGTGATGGTGATAGGGGTGGAGGGAGGTTGGGGGGCGGTGGCGATTGTGGCGGTGGCGGTGGAGACCTAAACACTCGGATGTGGGGCGGAGGCAGGCGGCTCATCGGGGGTGGTGGGGGTGGTAAAGGCGGTGGCGGCCTCCGTTTGCCCACCACTTGGGCTTCGCTCTGTCGCGATGTGGCCATCAATAGGAGAACCATGCTCAGGCTAGCAAATGGGAGACCTAGAAACATAAATTGAGGACGGTTGCTCTTCGCCCTCATCATGATCGGCAGTGCAACTAAGGGAAAGTGGAGTTACCAAAGCGCTGTTGCTGGTTTTTGTCTGCGGCCTATCGGCGCTGGGTGGCCTTTGTGCAATACTACGTATATACTAACATGAAAGCCATCGGGACTCTCGATGCTGCAAGAGTCCCGGCGGCGTGTAGTCTCAGCACCTGAGCATCGCGACGGTACAATGTGACTATGAGTGACTCTAATCCCTCTGCACCAGAAAGTGGTTATGGAAATTAACCACATAAAGTACCAATATCTCTAGGAATGTCCTCATATTCGTTATGGACTTGTGAGGAAATGAGGTAATTGTACGGGTGGTGGAACCAGGTCCAAAAATCTTTGACCAACGGGCAAAAAATGCGGCATTCTGATGGATCTCATATATGGCGAAGGTTGAGCAAAGTACTCCCCCCTTAGGTATCACGGTTATGTAGTAGATAGCATGGTAACCGCACTGGCTTGCTGGTCTTACCGACCTTGTGTGGGCGGCGTAATTCAAGCGCCAGGTACGTATCTGCTGACCCAGTTAATATCATGCGGTGATGCAATTGCCTTTAGGGGATTACTGGGAAATTTGTTCTATCGTATTGGGCTGGGGTGCACACACGGTTCCTGGCTTGATTGGATATTCAGGCAGGAGCCGGAATGAGGACCACAATGCCGTTGCAAAGTGGCGGACGGTAGATGGCTGAAGCTGTTGTGCCTTACTGCCCACTTTGAAAAGCCGGGCGGCGTCAACCGTATCTTTATTACAGCCAGCATAGCCCTTCTCCTACTCGCAGCCAGAGCAAAGTCATAAAAGAAGTATACATACTACGAGATTCTTGCATCAGTATAAGCTCGCTTAATGGTATGGTCGGCCGAGACCTCGCGGAATTCAGAAAAGTATATGCGCCATGCGCATGCTATCAACTTGAGCTAGAGAATACCCCTGACATGAAGGATAAAAGGTCATTTCTAAGCACCGAAAGGGTGTTCTTCACTTCCAGTGAAATGCTGGTAGAGAGGTGAAATCATTTACTCTCTCGCATCCGGCCCAGAAGACCTTAACCTGGAAAATTAGCAACACCAGGTGCCAGCAGCTAAGATAAGTTTAAGCAGTTCCTCTGCTCCTAAGACATCCCTAGCACCCGCACCTGCACCAGCTCTGACCTACCTAACTCGGTTTGAAAGCAATGGCGGTAAACGCAGTGGCGATCGTAGCGCACACAGCACGCAACGCACCCACACACTCCCTCTCCTCACTCCTAGCTATCCACAGCCCCACAGCTGCCGCCCCCCTAGCTTGCATAAATCGGCACCAATCGGCAACTGTTCACCAGCCGCTGTCAATCCAGCACACAGCCTCCGTTAACCTCAGGGACTAAAAAGAGAACTAATGTTTTGCACACGCGGTGTACATATATCCACGAAAAAAAAGTCTTGTTTTACCTTTTCGGATTTCCTCTTTTCTAAACCAATTGAAAACTGTCAAGCACAACCCTGAATTACAACCGGACTGAATATGATATGACCTTTTCTGTAGCCGTATGCAGCGCCCCTCCGTGACAATGCATCAACCATTGAAAGCATCATCATCTAATCAACCCCAACCTCAAATTCCGTGCAGCACCTACTCACCAGCAGCAACCTCAACCTCAACTTCTTAACTACATTATAATTCTACACAGCCTTGAAAAGCCGCCAACAGCCAACAGAAACAACCGCAAGAACGAACATATTTTCCACCAACTGCCAACAGAAGCAACCGCAGTGGACAAAGCAGTGGACTCCTTTTTGCTATTGTGGTTGTTGGCTAATAATACTGTTTAAACAGAAAGAGAACACACCACCCTTAAGTTCTGAATCTACTTCACTCATTTCCCGTTCTCACCACTCATGTACCTCCTCAGTCAATAAAATCTGTGTCCGGCGCGGGGCCGCTCACCAACAAGGTATATAAATCATCCAAGTTCTTTTTATAAACCCCCAAGTCTTCCGTAAACACCCCCCCACCGCCTTCGCCTAAAAATCGTTGCAGGTCCTCTGCAATACGCAAAATCAATGACCTGAGGCCGCCCAGCCTAATGCGCTCTACATCATCGTATCGTCTGTAGGTCTTGAGACAAAGCAAGCGCTCTTGAAGCACACGGGGCATACACACACGGCGCACACACAGGCCTAAGCCCCACCGAGGGACCGAGGGACAGCTAGGCTAGCTACTCCCGCGTGCCGGCCCCCTTCCGCATCTAGCTGGGGACCACCGGCCCTCAACCCCGTCATCCTGGACAGGACATGCAGCAATCCTTCCTGCACGTGGAGCACGACGACAGCTGCCGGGGTGGTGGGGGCGGAGCTGATGAGCTCTTGTCAACAAGCAACGTATCGGTCGGACCTGGTTCGGTCGGACCTTTTCCTCCAATCCCAACGCGGACTTAAAAACGGCTCTAAAGCCCTAATTGCTCTGGTTCCCCGGGAACTGGGCAACCCCTCCCGTCCGGAACATGAACATCTCGTATCGTATTTGGAGATCTGAATCATGGTCAATTTTGCAAAGGCACAAGAGCCTGCGCACTGCCTGCCACGCATCAACCTGCCAGCTATTAGCAGCAGCAGCAGCAGCAGCAGCTGCAGCTACCAGCCGAAATGGGGAGGTTAGCTAGCCCGCATATGCTACGGACCAGCCCACATCTGCTCGCTAATAATCCGCCACCCCTTTCCATTCTACCCACCACCTTTTCCTCCCTTCACCTACCCCTTCCCCGGCCATTCCCATTGTGTCGTGCGCAATACAACACAACGAGTTTGCAATTCCCACATCATCACCAGAACATTTCCATTTCCAACCCGCAACGATCACACCTGCGAAACGCACACACACATACATATATACATACACACATACATACGTACATACATACATACATATGCACCATCTCCAGCAACTTATGCAGCAAGCAACCCTGCGAGGAGAATACCTGGAGGTTTGCGGATTTATAATTCCTCCAGGCACTTTAAACAATATATCAACCAGCGGGACCCCAAAATCCTCGTCACAAGCTCACAGGCAACTCACCACGGTACACACAAATCATTATCAATCACCATCGCCATCAGCAGTAGCAGTAGCAGCAGCAGCAGCAGCAGACATCTCCACTACCATCATCGATAAGTTACTCCGCAGTCACAGCTACCACCACAAACAAACTGCACAACGGCAATTCCAGCCGTAAGCCCCCCAAACCAAAGCATCAACTGTACTGCGGGGCCATGTGAATTATAGTTGCCGTACTAAAGAGTCACGTGTGACACCCGTGCCGTACCGTGCCGGGCTTGCCGGTGGTGGCGGCGCCGCACAGTGCTTTCCTCTCTCTCTCTAGTTGCACCCGGTGGGTGTGTGTGACGGTGAGGCGAGAAATGGTATCCAACCAAAATAGAAGCCCCCGCACGGGTGATAGAGAGAGAGTGTGTATGTATGTGTGTATGGAGGCAGCGGGGGTAGTGGAGAGATGAATGGGCCGGCAGAGCAGGAAAAAACCACGACCCCCAAGCAGCTACGTAATCCTCTATCTTTTTCGCAACGACACAAAACGACGCAACGTCACAATCAAACGGTCCTGCGTGAAGAGCACCCTGCAACCCCCCAACACCTCAGGAACGAAAAGACATCATCACCTTAACAGACCACCTACTGCAGACACTCGACACCGTCTCACACGACCGCTTGCATCGCCACCATGACGCAGCTCGCAAGGTAATACACTCCTACATGTAAAGGGTTTTTGCACAATTGTGTAGCCATGTGAACAGCGCAGGAAAAAGCAAGGGGGAAGAAAATGGTGTTCACGATCCACCTTAAGGAATGCAAGAAGAAGGAATTGCGGTATGGTAGAGAGAGAGAGGAAATAACACAAGATATGACCGTGTTCCAAAGAGAATGTGGTAGTAGGCTGCATCCTGCTGACGGGAGCGGCAATTCTGTCCGCTACCCTGCGCTGCATCGTTGCGCGCTGCATCGATATTGCCTTGGTTAGCCGCCACTATGTATCACGGCCTTACAACAAAGCCTAAAATTGCTCACAACTGTACCAACTGTACCAACGTGCCACAGTCGAATCATCTTGGGAAGGATTTCGGCTGTCTCCTGTCGGACCTCTCCTCCTCCTCCTCCTCCCCTCCTTGAAGTCCATCAGGTATGTATGTCTAACAGTGCAGTCGGTGCAAGAATGCTCAACGTTGTCCACCAGCACCAGTACCGGTAGCGGAGCAATTAATGATGCTATTAGCGCTAACTAACTAACTAACCGCTGACTGGAAATGTCGCCCTGAACAGGTCCAACGTAGAATTTACTATTCTACTACAGGTCATGTAGCCTGATTAGGTCATGTAGCCTGATTAGGTCATGTAGCCTGGCTCCCCCGGTCGCGGTCGTATGAGTGTCACCCACACAGCCCTGGAGTACACGTCGCCGTTGAGCAGGAAGAGCATGTACATGCCCGGCGGCGCGATGTTGATGTTGGGTGGGCCGCGGACGATGGCGACACCGTTGACATCTCCAACTGAATTGCTCACAATTTCCAAACCCAGCAGCCGTTGGTGCGTGTTGTACGAGTGTGTCGTACTGCTGGGCGCCACGAGTACGACACGCGTGAGCGCGTTGTTTCCCCAGCCCGCCGGGAAGGTGTAAGTGATGGTGAAGAGACCCTGGTACGCCATGCTGGTGCTGGAGGTGTTGACGATCAGGGGCTTTAGTTCGTCCATGAAGAAGTACGGCGGTGAGTAGATCTCGACGCGGTAGTCGGCCTGCAGTGGGGGAAGTTGGCAAGGGGGACCACATGAAGCTCTTTCAAAAATTCACTCTTAAGAAATGACGATATTGTGAAGGAAGAAGGGGCAGGGTCAATAGATACGGTAGGTCATGTTTGTTGTCAGGCATGCCAGGGGGATCATCAACCGGCGGCCAGATAAGAAAATGGGCCGTTACAGCAGCGTATTAATCTTTTTCCTTTCCTTTCTTTTCCTGGGGGGAGAGATAAAGGGGAGAGAGAAGCGGGCAGAGGGAAGGAGAGAGAGAGGAGAGAGGCGGCGGCGGCTACAGAGCAAGAAGGGGAAGGCATATAATAGAGGGAAGGAGGGAGAGAGGAGGGGGAGAGGAGGGGGACAGAGGGAAGGGGAGAGAGAGATGACCAGGACCCCCCAGTAGTCCATGTTGCCATCGTACGGTTGCCATCTCCTATAAAAGCAACATTTGGAAAATGCATGAGTCATGAGCCAATGAGCCCAATGACCCCTCCGTCATAAACCATGACACTACCCCTCTATGCCGTACCTTCGTGGCCGATGGTTGGAAATCGTAACCCGATTGCACATCGTATCTGTAGCAGCGGTCGCAGCCGGCCACGATAACGGTACCATTGGTGGTTAATCCGGCGGTTGAGTGGTACATTCGGGCAATCAGAGTTGTAGCCATCCTCCGGAAGCGGCTGCCCAGCGGCGCATTCGGGTTGTACTCCTCCGCGAAGAGAAGGGGGTAGTTGGCGCGACTATCACCACCGCTAGCGGAATCGCCCGCCAATCCGGTCTGTGCAAGTGCGGAGGGAGGGTGGAAAGGACAAAGGCCTTGACGTCTGTGTGCACGTGCGGGTCAAGAACGTGCGGGGACCGGTCTGAAGGCCGTGCGGGGAAAGGCAGGGCCCGATAGCCCGATGGATGAGATACCGAGATAACCCTCGGGAAAGATCTGCAAACGCCTTTTCGTGCGGTGAGGCGCGGATGGCGTGGGGAGAGAGACGCGTCATTGCAACAGAAACTTCTCTTCCCCCCCAAGTTCTCCAGTACTATCAGGCACCAGGTCGAAGTCCATAAAATATTAAATTACTTTTATAAAACAGCAGGTAGGACTATAAGAACACAAGAACATCAAGAAGCACTGCTAAATCAACTGCAAATCGCAGGTTATTCCAACCGACCAATCTATTATTGGTCGGAAAGCTATTATTGGTTTATAATAAATGACTAAATTAACCAAAATATTCACATAGTATATCTATAAAAATAGATACAAAATATTTCTATACATAAAACAAATATATATATAATATAATATAATATATATATAATATAATATATATAATATAATATATATAAATATATATATATTATATATATAATATATTAAATACAAATTAAAAGATAAATAGCACAACGTGCGGAGCCCATGTTGACCTGTGTGCCATGTGAATAATTAATTCGTCACCGACTAATCTGACTAATCCCGCAACATGGCATCACGGGGCCGCTCAATACCCAACCCAACCACCCAGGCTCACCCATGCGCCGTTCAGAATAATGACCCTGCCGTTCGGCAGCAATACGGAGTCCGGCATCACACGGCCAATCGTCATGCTCTCATTCACCCAGCCATTAAACGTGTAGTTGCCTGTCGCTTTGTTGAACGTCAACGCCAAGCGGTTGGCTCCCCGATTGGCAAGCATGCTCAAATTACTGACGGCTCTCTCGTTCGCACCGCCGAACAACATAATTTCCACCTGAAGGTACCCCCGAGCATGTATATATGTATGTATGTATGTATGTAGAGGCGGGAATGGGAGTGGGACGGGGTGAGGGGTTGAAAGGTGCATACAGACGCACGAAGATGCGACAGTTATGGACCGTCGTGCCCGTTATGGGGACGCACGAGCAGAGCCACACAAGTGGAGGTCGTTGGAGGCCGTTGCCACCCGTTGCCGCACAATAATCAAAATAAAACGAAACTCTCATCACAGAGACAGCTCATAAACAGAACACAGAGAATTTTTCCTTCGTATATATATAAGATACTGATAGGCCCATTAAGCGTCAAAAGCGTGGGCTGTGTAACTATTGCGATCCTCCCTCCGGTACTTTCACGGCGTCCATACTCGCCTCTCCCCGCACCCAACCCGCTACCCCCCAACGTAAGACACGGTACTCTTTCTCTTCACCCCTCCCCCTCCTACAACCACATGTGTCAAAACAGCAGCGTGTACTGCCGACATTTTGTAGATTTTCCTCTCAACCCCAACGCCTCAACCGCCAACCGTAACCGTCAACGAACCTGGTAGTTATTCTCGGGATACAGCCCCAGCATCGCGGAAGTCCCCGTGAATGGGAATTGCAAATTGCCGTACCCTCTCAGCTTGGGCACTTCCTGACGCCAGTTGTTACTCCGCCAATCCATAATCCAGCCGGAGCGGCCGCAAAACGAAAATAGGAAACCCTCGGGAAGCACATAATTGAAGGGGTAGTAGATCTGCAAAGGCGGGAGGAGGAGGAGGAGGAGAAGGCAAAGGAAGGGAGAGCAAAAAGGTAGGGGGAGGTGTAGCAGCCGGTACACAGTACCGCGCTATAAATACGCGCAGAGCGTGACCACCAGTAACTCGAGAGACCTTTTCAGCGGTCAGCTGCTACATTTGGTATCGGGAACCTCGTGAATATTCACAATCCTAAAGTTCTCGGTTCAACCCCCACCGATCACGTTCGAGTGGTATTTCGGGTTTGGCGAATTAATGAGCGAATATCGCACAAAAACTACAGAAGTAACTGAACCGACTGGACTGTCTCTGCGCCTGAAAAACCAGAAGGCTAGGCGCATGAAGGGAACCATGACGTGACGTGGGCTTGAGCACCCCACTGCCCGAGGGCAGGCGAAAGTAGGCACAGGCTGGTGGTAAAACGAGGCTTCAAAGGGGGAGGTTTAGCAGCCAATCCACAGTACGGCGCTATAAACACGCGCAGAGCGCGACCACCAGCAACTCGAGAGACCTTTTCAGCGGTCAGCTGCTACAGGAGGTGAGGCACACATTCTAGCGGCTGGTGAAGGGGAAATGCAGGACGAAGGGGAGGAAAGGCAGACACTGTCGCCCGAGTAACGATGTGCAGCAGACCACTGCGCACAGGGCCTTGACTATTAGGGGAGAATGAGGGGAGCAATGTGGGTGAGCAAAGATTGGTGCGGGGGGCGCCTGCACAAGAGAAAGGAACGAGGGGTGAGGAGAGGGGTAATGGATCCAAAAACACACACGCGCGCGCACATCCGGGGCCACCGGGAAGGACATCTGGGAGGTGGGAGTGACACAGTCGACCGAGCCGGAAGTTGCGGGGAGGAAGGGAGGGAGGGAGGCGAAAAAGGAGGGAGGGAAGGAAAATACACACGTCGTAAACACTCAGATCCGTCCTGGACAGAAACCACATTGTTCAGGCATAGGACTTGTCCGTCGATAGTGTTATGGCCATACTCACACATCACTGTATTTTCATCAAATTTCAAAACCACAAACGCTCAGAAATACGGCAATGTACGACGCTATGACTCTTGTACCTGCGTAGCCTGGTCCAAGTACAGAGGACGCATGGCGTACGGCGTCACATTGCTTGTAGCCGGGTCGTACATTTCCCAAAACGGGTTGTTTGCCGTACCGGCCCCCACACCCTGCGTTCCGCCCATGATGAGCACCCTGCCGTCCGGAAGGAGTGTGGGGGTGGGGTACCTGCACCATGGGATGGACACGAGAAGCGCATGGTGGGGGGGTTAGGTGAGTAGCCCACATGAATCAGGCTGACAGGCATCCATTACATGACGTCCTAATTGCGAAAATGGTGGATGGATGGATGGATGGATGGATGGGTGCATGCTACAGAACAGGAATGATAAGGGCGTGAAACCTCCGTAACCTCCATAACTGCCACCCACCATCGGCGCCAGCTCATCTCCCGAATCTTGCGCAGATTCCGGTCAGCGCACGAGCGGTTGAATGTGCGAATGGATTTCATTCCGTCCAGATAGCCCGCATTGGCCTGCGAGTTGGTGGTAGGAGGGAGAGAAGGGTGGGGGAAATGGGAGCGGGGGGCGCTACTTGATTGGTTGGTGGGTGTCGTACAAGGCACCACAAAGGGCTCGGGAAGCAGATTGCGGAATACATTTACCCCCTCCTCCCCTCCTCCCCCAACTCACACACATGTCCACAGCCCGAGGCCCAGTCATACATACATACATCTATACATACAAACGGCGGCTGGCAGAGGTTAAGGCCTGACTTCTGCTCCCAGTCGACCCAGTCGACCCGGGTTCAAATCCGCCTGCCGGCTCCTCGGGTGTTTGAGGAGTGATGAAATGGGAGGTGGCCCCCCATCATATGGACGGTGTAGGACGTGATAATATCAACTTGCGAGCTGACCAGGAACTAAGTTGATGCGCCGTTGATCCGCTAGATTTGGTTGGATGCTGGTGGTGAGTTGCCGAACCCAACGAATACATTCTGAAGTCGGATGGGGTGACGGATTAGGGTGCCCCTCTAGCAGGGGAGAGCAGGGACTGCCCCGGGAAAGGGGGCCGCTGGCGAAGTTAACCACCCTGTAACAACATACATACAAACATACAAACCCATCGCCACTACCTAATCGTACCTATATACCTACACACACTCTCTCTCTCAGCCCCCCGAGCCCCCCCTGAGCCCCCCCAGCCCCCAGCCGCACCTGATGTCCGCCCACAATCACAACATCCCCCGTGTCGAGCAGCGTGTGGCCGCAGCAAAACAACCCATCAGTTGAATTTACGTGTGTGAAATTGCGGATATTCAAGTCGAAAAAACCCGCAATGGTGTTGGTATTGTCCGGGTGGTAGCCGGAAGGACGTTCCATAAAGAGATACCGGTCCGTGCCGGGAATTTGAACCAAATGTACGGCAACGATCATGCCGATGCCGATCTGGTCGTACCTGTTGTAGTTGGTTTTGCGCGGGAAACGGCCCGAGTGCGCGCGGGGGAAGAAAAGGAGGGGGTTGATGGGGGACGTGGGGAGAACCTTCGGGGGCGTGTGGGTACGCGTGCGTGCGTATGTTTTGTAGTACGGCACAAGTTCACACGCTTATCAGACTACAGGTGAGTGAATGGGATTTAATGTGGAGGTTGGGCGAAGAACGACATACATACATACGCAGGTACGCGCGTACAAAGCAACCCAACGAATACATTCTGAAGTCGGATGGGGTGACGGATTAGGGTGCCCCTCTAGCAGGGGAGAGCAGGGACTGCCTCGGGAAAGGGGGCCGCTGGCGAAGTTAACCACCCTGTAACAACATACATACGCAGGTACGCGCGTAAAAACCACCACCACACGCAGTACATTAACCTTCAATCCCAATCTTCTCGGGAACTAGGCCGAGTGTGACACGAGCAGTCCGAACCAGGTCAGATACGCGCTCCTCTCCTCCCCCATATCCTTTTCCCCCCTCTCTACAGATACAAACTACCATACACACACACGCGCACTCACACACAGGCCTTACAGACAAACACCCGCATCTTGTGTACGACTGTACAGTTTATGGGAATTGACAATAAGATCACAAAACGAACCTGCCGACTACCCGCACGTCTCCCGCAGGCGGAGCTGGAGGTCGAAAGATGGGCGGCGGTGACGGGGTGAAGGGCGGGTACTTCGGCGCGCTGGGGGGCGCGGGGGGAACGGCATCCCCCACAGGTGCCCGAGGCGGCGGTGAAGCGGGTGGTGGCGACCGTGAGGGGGGTGAGCGTGGCAGGGGTGAGCGTGGCGGGGGTGAGGGGGGTGGTGGTGAGGGGGGAGGTGGTGCCGAGCGTGGTGGTGATGGTGGTGGTGAGCGTGGTGGCGGAGATGGCGGCGGCGGCGGTGGTGGTGGAGGCGAGGGTGGTGGAGGTGATGGTGGTGGTGGTGGCGGTGAGCGTGGCGGGGGTGATGGCGGTGAGAGTGGCGGGGGTGATGGCGGTGAGCGAGGCGGGGGTGATGGCGGTGAGCGTGGCGGGGGTGATGGCGGTGAGCGTGGCGGGGGTGATGGCGGTGGTGGTGGCGAGGGTGATGGCGGTGAGCGTGGCGTGGGTGATGGCGGGGGTGGTGGCGAGGGTGGTGGTGAAGCTGGGTTTCGGGGTGATGGTGATGGGGGTGGAGGGAGGTTGGGGGACGGTGGCGATAGTGGCGGTGGCGGTGGAGGCCTAAGCACTCGGATGTAGGGCGGAGGCAGGCGGCTCATCGGCGGTGGTGGGGGTGGTAAAGGCAGTGGCGGCCTTCCTTTGTCCACCACTTGGGCTTCGCTCTGTCGAGATGTGGCCATCAATAGGAGAACCATGCTCAGGCTAGTAAATGGGAGACCTAGAAACATAAATTGAGGACGGTTGCTCTTCGCCCTCATCATGATCGGCAGTGCAACTAAGGGAAAGTGGAGTTACCAAAGCGCTGTTGCTGGTTTTGTCTGCGGCCTATCGGCGCTGGGTGGCCTTTGTGCAATACTACGTATATACTAACATGAAAGCCATCAGGACTCTTGATGCTGCAAGAGTCCCGGCGGCGTGTAGTCTCAGCACCTGAGCATCGCGACGGTACAATGTGACTATGAGTGACTCTAATCCCTCTGCACCAGAAGGTGGTTATGGAAATTAACCACATAAAGTATCTATATCTCTAGGAATGTCCTCATATTCGTTATGGACTTGTGAGGAAATGAGGTAATTGTACGGGTGGTGGTCAAACATCTTTGACCAACGGGCAAAAAATGCGGCATTCAGATGGATCTCATATATGGCGAAGGTTGAGCAAAGTACTCCCCCCTTAGGTATCACGGTTATGTAGTAGATAGCATGGTAACCGCACTGGCTTGCTGGTCTTACCGACCTTGTGTGGGCGGCGTAATTCAAGCGCCAGGTACGTATCTGCTGACCCAGTTAATATCATGCGGTGATGCAATTTCCTTTAGGGGATTACTGGGAAATTTGCTCTATCGTATTGGGCTGGGGTGCACACCGTTCCTGGCTTGATTGGACATTCAGGCAGGAGCAGGAATGAGGACCACATTTTCAATTCTTTCTTTTTGATGAAAAAGCTCGATGTTTTCTTTTTCAAAGCGAGCTACAACCCGTGCTAAAGTTTGGACTGATCCTAAAACTCCATCTGATTTCTCTTATGCCATTTATTGCCTCCGTATATTAAATTTTTATAACTTATCTGCTATAGCGGTAAATCAGGAATCATGAAAAATTTAAGCTTTACCACACATCAAATGTGTGTATCGGGTATGCCGTTGCAAAGTGGCGGACGGTAGATGGCTGAAGCTATTGTGCCTTACTGCCCACTTTGAAAAGCCGGGCGGCGTCGACCGTATCTTTATTACAGCCAGCATAGCCCTTTTCTATTCGCAGCCAGAGCAAAGTCATAAAAGAAGTATACATACTATGAGATTCTTGCATCAGTATAAGCTCGCTCAATGGTATGGTCGGCCGAGACCTCGCGGAATTCGGGCAGCGGCAAGAAGCTAACCCGTGCTCGCCAATAGCGGCATGTCCAACCCAATCGTGCCCTCTGCACATGACTATGAAAATCCAATCCGCTGTCATGAGGCAAAGTCAACACATCCCGCCGGTAGATGGACAAGACCGAGTTTTTTTATCTATTAGACCCACCAGCAAGCATTTCGCCTCCCACTCCTGCGACGGTCAATCCCTGAACTGCAAAGCAATAAATTCTCACAAGGCCACGGACTAAAGTAAGTATATGCGCCATGCGCATGCTATCAACTTGAGCTAGAGAATACCCCTGACATGAAGGATAAAAGGTCATTTCTAAGCACCGAAAGGGTGTTCTTCACTTCCAGTGAAATGCTGGTAGAGAGGTGAAATCATTTACTCTCCCGCATCCGGCCCAGAAGACCTTAACCTGGAAAATTAGCAACACCAGGTGCCAGCAGCTAAGATAAATTTAAGCAGTTCCTCTGCTCCTAAGACATCCCTAGCAACCGCACCTGCACCAACTCTGACCTACCTAACTCGGTTTGAAAGCAATGGCGGTAAACGCAGAGGCGATGCGGGACGCGTCTACGCGGCTCTGCACACAAGGTCACTGCGGTCCTTGCTTGCTCCCTCACCCATCGTAACGCACACAGCACGCAACACAGCCACACACTCCCTCTCCTCACTCCTCGCTATCCACAGCCCCACAGCTGCCGGCCCCCTAGCTTGCATAAATCGGCACCAATCGGCAACTGTTCACCAGCCGCCTTCAATCGAAAGATGCAGCTAGTAATTGAGCCCTACCCTCCAGTAACTTCGTAGCCCAGTCCACTGTGCCCGCATTTTACGTTCCCAGGCCGGTCAGCTAGTTTGGCTCCGGCTTGTGGTGGCCCGCCTGGTCAGCCATAGGGCCAGCAGGGCGGGGCTTCTTGGAGAAGTGGAACATCAGCCGAGAGGTGGTCCTGGCCTGCATGCCCCGCTATCCCTCAAGGCCCTTACGATGATGTTAATAGTAGAAGAGGACGTGGAGGAGGAGAAGGTACAGCGCCGGGAAGAAGGACAGACATGCGCACGTGCGCCAGCTCATAACCAGTCCGAGCACACCGACCGACCGACCGACAGACAGACGAGTCCTCTACCAACTTCAACAGCATCCCTGCTTGGCGGTCGGCCGTGTCTGGCCGCTGACAGGGCGTGCGGGCGGGTGCGTGCTTGGACGCCGATGCCTTGCCGCAGACTTCGCGGTGACACTCTACACATCTGAACAGAGACAGGCGGGCCTGCACCAGATAGCGGCGCCGCCTGCGCGGTCCACTGCTCATCCAACTTTAGTCCCCAACAGCAGGTGTATTTATATGCTCATCCTAGGTGAATTTAGGAGGATATGGAGCGTGTATCAAGTTCTGTGGCCACGCAAAGAAGAGAGCAGTAATTGAAGTTGATACAGTTTGCATGCGCGTGGCCATGACTTACAATCACACACGCATAATAAGGAAATGGAGTCAACAACTACTTCAGCCATTGCTCTCACCGCGCGCCACGTGATTTCGTCATATCATTATCTGCAGACAGATATACGCAATGATGGTAACACCTCGCACACACACACACTGACAATAAAGAACGATAGTTT